GCACCTGCTGTTTTCTTTGCAAATTTGCATCATAGGATTGTTTTTTGTTTTTCCTGCAGTATATAAAAATTGCTGTATCTCCAAAATAAAACTATGAAGACACTCAAATAAAATTTCCTGTGGTGGGAAACTATTTTTTGCAACTTTATTGTATTTAAAGTTTTGAGGGATAAGCCTCTTAAATTTCTCAAAGTAGAAATATCTGTAAACAAAACAAAAGCGATTTTCAATTTTTTGTGTAGTTTATTGCACTTTTTTGCAATTTATGTAATTACTATGCACTTAATGCATACATATTATTACAATATGGGCTATAACAGTCGTATTGATGTATAGCAACTTGAAATGCTCCCACAAATGGCACTACAACATGTAAAAAAAAATAATATAAGCTCTGGTGGACTTGGTTCTATAGTAGGTCTTAAAGGGTTAAATAAATATCGTCAAATAATCGTGATCTCAATTTCAGTGAAAATAATCGTGATTATCATTTTTGCCATAATCGAGCAGCCCTACAGGGGCCCATCGCTGTACTACGGGCCATTTAATCCTTAAGCAACCACTGCAAGAACTTGGTCCGCAGAGCCATCAGTAGGCAGGACTAGTTCCTGGTGGGACATGGTACTCTCACCCATTCTGTTCAGAATCTTTACGTACAGAATTTACAGGCGCAGCCAAGAATCTCGTCTCTGGCTTTGGTGCAGATTGGTTCTGTTGGTTTCATCAGGTGGTGTCCTCCAGCGCGCACTGGAGCGGCTGCAGTGATGCTGCACCGGTCCATGGTGGTGAAGAGAGAGCTCAGCCTCCTGGGCAAGGTGCGCTTGTCGTGTTCTCCAGGAGGCGGCCAGCAGGAGGGAGGTCTGGTACGCTCAGGCTACTGCCCCGTGACCTGCCCCCCAGTGAAGGAGGACGGATGGATACCCCTGATCTTCATCAGCACTTCACTAAGAATTCATTGATGCTTCCTTCATTAGTACTTTCTTGGTGTGGGTGTGGCCTAACACAGGCGTGTCTGGTTCGTGGTGATGTCACTGCAGCCCTGCATGTGTTGTGTGTCTGATGATTTTATTGTTGTACTTTCATTTGAGCAGCACAAATCTGTCCTACACGAGTACTGCAGGAGTACTGCAGGAGTACTGGGTACTTAGTTACCTCCCACATGGGTTTGATGCCCTCCTTGAACAGGTGGAAGTCGCTGTGCCCGCTCAGGTCGCCTGGCCTCACCAGATGACTGTAAAACCTCCAGAACTGCTCCACCTGAACACATTATTGGTTATCAGAACGATCGATCGCACAGACTTACTGATCCGGTCAGACTGATCATGTGACTGAATCAGAGAGAGAAGAAATAAAATCGTGTCAGACTGAAACTATCAGTAAAGCTGACGGGGTGTGGTCTCAGAGGAGGCGTGTCCTCACAGAAAGCTGTCCATACGTACCGAGGCCACGGTGCCGATCTGTCGTATGTTCTGCTCGTAGCTCAGAGAGCTGGCGGGACGACTCGGGGTCCTCCTGCTGTACCAGAAGGTGTAGTTATACTGCAGGGGGTGCTCACCTGCACCTGGACACACCGTCTGCAGGTTACAAAACACACACATCACAGCTGCTGACCAATCAGGTCCTCACAGTCTGAGGGTTTTAAGAGTGTCTAAACTCAAGGTGTGTGCCAAGTCAGGGCCTGCGTCCTTCAGAGGCCGCGTTTGAAGGCCGATTACGTCACAGTGACGTGACGAAGGCGGTCCTGAATCGAAGGCTGCTGCAAATGCGTCGTCCTTTCCCTCAGATTTCAAGGATGGGTTATGATGTGGGTTGGCACATCATATCCCAGGATTCATAGCACAGCAGAGGATAAAGTGGGGCGGCCGCAGAGTAAACAAGTAAGTGCTGAGTTTTATGACTCTTATTTATGCGGCGATACAAAAGTTCCAACAGGAACATTAAACAACACTTTTAGCTGCCTGTCAGCAAAGTCACGTGACACTGTTTTTATAAAGCACTTATAATGTTCAAACAGTTTAATCTGACAGAGATGTGAGGATTTCATGCATAATTACAGTCAGTCATATATCCACAAACACAACTGTTGTCTGTCCTCTAACGCCACGTGTCTCAGCGAGACTTCCACCTGGGATAACATCACGTGCCTACAGACACAGGTGAGCACGACGTGAACAGGTAACCAGGTAAAACAGAGGAACAGGTTACCTTGCGCCGGTTGTTGTTGTTGTTGTTTCCATCGGCATTGTCAACGTGACAATCTGTCTCCTGTGCGTTGTCATCTTGGGGACTGAAAGACAAACAGGAAGTACTCAGCAGGTAATCCCAGGTGTCACCTGAGGGACGTGCCCATGGTTTATGGTGGACGAACAGCTAAAATGCTTGAGTCATCTTTACGTTTGCTTTTCCACTGATGTGTAGCCTGCATGTGTTATCACAGCAGGGCTGCTGTACATCGAACGACCAGCAGATGGCAGCAGTGAGCTGTTAAACGGGGCTTCGTGCGACCGAAACCATTGGCTGGAAAGATTCGACACACCGCACCGTCACTACTCACAGGTGAAGTCGCCCCTTTATCTCACATGTCCTTCCTAAACTCCATTTAAAAGACGGAGCCCTGCGCTGACGTCACACCTCCACAGGTCCTCTCACTTGTACACAACAGCGCACGCGACCGTCTCACGCTCCGAAACAAACGGACTGTTCAGGGAGGCTGTGTCAATAAAGTTTAGACCCCGACTGCCTGGATAAAAACGCTGTTGTTAACGGCTAACTCTTATTTCACGCAGTCTGTTTAAATAAAGTTTGAATGAATCACACTGGATGCTAGCTCTACGTGCTCGAGCGTTATCTGCAGTTATTTCCGGGTCAAAGGTGAGCCTTACCGCTCCAACTGATCCATCTCTCCTCCGTCTCTCGTTCTGCTCCTTATCTCCGCCTGTATCACCTGTACTTTTCTATTTTTAATCTATTGTCCCTACTCGGCTTCTACTCAACACACTGGACTGCGGTGACGGCTTCTGCCAATGCGCATGCTTACGGCGGAACAGTGGACGGAAGGCGCGT